AGGAGCAGAGAGCCTCTCTGCTCCTATGATGCTGCTTGGCCTGCTGTGTTCATCCAGCCCTGCACCTTGTTGTCTCGGATTCTCCAGCATCTGCAGTTCCTACTATCTCTGAGAACTAGAGTATGCCAACTTTATTGCTGACTAAAGAAGCAATGGAGACATTAGAAGTAACCCTTTTATGCAGTATTTTATGAAGTGATTAGGATCTGGAATGCATGGCCTGAACAGATTCAAACATGGTTTTTAAAAGGAAATAGCAGAAGGAGAGAAAATTAGCAGGATCACAGTAAAAGGATGGCAGTAGTGCGCTTAGCTTAGCTGAGCTGCTCTTGCAAAGAGCATGGAGATAATGGCTCAAATGTACTCCTTCTGTGCTTTATGATTCTATTCTATAATTCAGTGGAATAGTTCATTAAATAAAACCTTCCTCCACTAGACACACAGTAAGAACATCAGGAAACAGGTTGTTTGACCCCATCAGTCCATGTCTGGTTTTTATCCTCACCAGCAATGGTCTATGTCCCTTTCTTGTTCCTGATACCATTTACTCCCTTTTTCCTTCAATCACTTATTTTCAAATGTTATCACAGTCTATGCTTTAATCCTTAATTCTACAGCTCCACTATCCTGTATTACTCCATCTGTTACGTGGAAGATGGATGCCAGTAATTTCTATAAACAGGTCACTGGATGATTGATCTGTACTCCTGGCTGGTCTCCAACCTTTCAACCTCAATGAACTCAAGCTCATCTGAAACTCTGCTGACTGTATCCTAACATTTATTAACTCAATTCACCCATCACTTCTGTGACCATTGACCTACAGTGAGCTACAATTTAAAATTTTCATCTTTGCTTCCACATCCCTTCAGGGCATTGCTCTTCCAATCAAGTCTATATCATCTTAAAACCCTCTTACATATCTGCAGTCCTCCAATTTGGCCTTTTATACCAGCATGGTTATCCTCACTCAACCGTTGGTGGTACAGTAATGCTTTTCACTGCCTTGGCCCTATGCTTTGGAATTCCTTGCCTAAATCTCTCTAACTCTCTCTCTCTCTCTTCCTACGAAACATGCCTTAAAACCTCTTTAACTTAGCTTTTGGTCACCTGTCCTAATACCTCCTGTGTACCTTGGTGTCACATTTTGCCTAAAAAATGCTACTGTGAAATAGTTTGACACATTTTATTGTGTTAAAGGCACTGTGTAAATACCAGTTCTTGCTGTCATCTATTCCTGTTGTACTCATACTGTCAGCACTGCCAGAAATCACTGCATGGATTTTGTTCTTAAGAACTCAAAGTATCCACATAAAATGCAAGAATAACCTAGGTTTCAATAAACAAAAGGTCTGCCACTGAGCCTCAGTCAGCAGACCTGGGACAGAACTATATTCACTGCTGTATCAACTCTTGGACTAATGAATTCTCTACTGCCTGTGCTTTTTTTAGATGCATTGAAAGGACATAACCAGACCAAAAGCTGTGATGTCAACATCTGGATCATGCCAGTCCACCAAATTCAAGAATGGAACATCTGAGATTCAGATGATCAGATTTTAAGTTCAACCCCCATAGGGAATCACATTCAACGATAAACTGGTATAAACTGCCATTAAATGAGGGGGCAGGACAGACATGGTGTCATGGGCCTTTTGTTGTTGTCTTGCTCTCCTGTCATTCAAGGCTCTGTACTGGAACCATAGGGTGAACAATATTTCTTTCCCCTTTCTCCTCTTAGGTCCACCATAACCAAATACGTTCCCTCTTCCATCTGCCTCATTCTGAGTGGTCATTTGTCACACATTATCCCAGGCAGCAATATGACTGGCAGGAGCATCACAGCCAAGCCTGATCTTGGTGGAGTGGGGGTTATTGCCGAGTGAACCAGGAGCTTATACTGCAGTAGGGCCTGCTAGGGAGGACAGTAGGCACCCAACTACTGCCCTCCTGAGAACTGATTAACAATCAGCGTGGAGCAGGAACTGAACTCAGGACTTTGTGGTCTCTACAGCTCAGTGTAGTGGGGGTGATGCAGTGAGGATTTCTGCCTTTCTTCAAACAGAACATGAGTTTGGTGTGTATGATGAAAACACAAACCAACCTTACCTGTATATCCTATTTTCTCAAAGCTAAGTAAGTTGAAAATGCTATTGTAGAGCTGCATCTCCTTCTTGTGGTTTTGGTCCATTTCGTCCAGGATTTCCATCAGCTCATTGCCTGTCTTGGTGGGGTGGCCACATTCCCCCTCATGAGCAGTTAGCTCATGGAATGGCCCCTGCCATGGACATCCAATCCGCTTGTATTTACACAGTGTTACTCTAGAATAGGAAGAGCAGGGAGAAAAACAATGCAGCAGGTTAAACAGAGTTTAAACAGGCTCAAACAAACAGACTGACTGGCATTTCTAACACACCATTCATGAAATCAGGATGCTCCAAACCCATCAGTTCTGTATGCAGTACTGGTTACCACACTTTAGCAAAGGTGCGAAAGTCATCATGGTGCTGTGATTTACCAAAATGGCTCCAGTGATGGGGAGATTTTGGTTACAAGGTTAGATTGGAAAGAGTGGAGCAGACTTCTTGGAGCAAAGAAGATTGACGGAAGATTTGATAGAGGTGCACAAGATTTTCACAGGCTTGGCCAAGATAAACGCAGGAAAATTTTTCCTTTAGTTAATGGTACAAGGACCGGGGGACACAGATATAAGATTTTGGGCTCAAAATATAGGGGGATTATGAGGAAGAATTTTCTTACACAATGTGTGGTAACGAGCTGGAACTCACTACCCATGAGGGAGGTTTTTATTCATTCATGGGATGAGGGCATCGCTGGCTAGGCCAGCATTTATTGCCCTTCCCTAATTGTCTAGAGGGCAGTTGAGAGTCAACCACGTTGCTGTGGATCTGGAGTCACACTCAGGCTAGACCAGATAAGATATCCTTAGATAACAAGGTGTACAGTTGGATAAACACAGCAGGTGAAGCAGCATCAGAGGAGCAGGAAAGCTGTCGTTTCAGGCCTAGACCCTTCTTCAGAAATGGGGGAGGGGAAGGGGGTTCTGAAATAAATAGGGAGAGAGGGGGAGGCGGATAGAAGATGGATAGAGGAGAAGATAGGTGGAGAGGAGACAGACAGGTCAAAGAGGCGGGGATGGAGCCAATAAAGGTGAGTATGGGTGGGGAGTTAGGGAGGGAATAGGTCAGTCCAGGGAGGACGGACAGGTCAAGGGGGCGGGATGAGGTTAGTAGGTAGGAGATGGGGTGGGGCTTGAGGTGGGAGGAGGGGATAGGTGGGAGGAAGGGCAGGTTAGGGAGGCGGGGACAAGCTGGGCTGGTTTTGGGATGCGGTAGGGGGAGGGGATGCTTCTACCTCCTTCCCAAAATCCACAAACCTGACTGCCCTGGTTGACCCATTGTCTCCGCCTGCTCCTGCCCCACTGAACTTATCTCTACTTATCTCGACTCCGTTTTCTCCCCCTTGGTCCAGCAACTCCTCACCTACGTCTGTGACACCACCCACGCCCTCCACCTCCTCCAAAACTTCTGATTCCCTGGTCCCCAACACCTCATCTTTACCATGGACGTCCAGTCCCTATTCACCTGCATTCCCCATGCAGATGGCCTAAAGGCCCTCCGCTTCTTCCTGTCCCACAGGCCCAACCAGTCCCCCTCCACTGACACCCTCATCCACTTAACTGAACTCGTCCTCACCCTTAAGAACTTCTCTTTCAATTCCTCCCACTTCCTACAAAGGGGGTGGCCATGGGTACCCGCATGGGCCCAAGCTATGCCTGCCTCTCTGTAGGTTACGTGGAACAATCCCTCTTCTGTAGCTGCACTGGCCCTATCCCCCACCTCTTCCTCCGTTACTGTATCGCTGATGACTGTATCGGCACCGCCTCGTGCTCCCACAAGGAGCTTGAACAGTTCATCCAATTCACCAACACCTTCCATCCCAACCTTAAGTTCACCTGGACCATCTCTGATACCTCTCTCTCCTTCCTGGACCTCTCTGGCAACCAAAACCGATATCCATTTTAAGCCCACCGACTCCCACAGCTGCCTAGAATACACCTCCTCCCACCCACCTTCCTGCAAAAATGCCATCCCCTTTTCCCAACTCTTTCACCTCCGCCGCATCTGCTCCCAGGATGAGGCATTCCACTCCCGAACATCTCAGATGTCCTCGTTTTTCAAGGACCGCAACTTCCCCCCCTCAGTGGTCGAGAACGCCCTTGACTGTGTCTCCCGCATTTCCTGCAACTCATCCCTCACACCCCCTCCCTGCAATAACAACCAAAACAGAATCCCCCTCGTCCTCATGTACCACCCCACCAACCTCCGGATCCAACGCATCATCCTCCAACACTTCTGCCATCTGCAATCCGAACCCAACACCAAAGACATATTTCCCTCCCCACCCTTATCTGCTTTCCGGAGGGACCACTCTCTCCGTGACTCCCTTGTCTGCTCCACACTCCCCTCCAGCCCCACCACACCCAGCAATTTTCCCTGCAACCGCAGGAAGTGCTACACCTGCCCCTACACCTCCTACCTCACTCCCATCCCACGTCCCAAGAGGACCTTCCACATCAAGCAGCTGTTCACCTGCACATCTGCTAATGTGGTATACTGTATCTGCTGTTCCCCTTGTGGCCTCCTCTACAACGAGGAAACCAAGTGGAGGCTTGGGGACCGCTTTGTGGAACACCTACGCTCGGTTCGCACTAAACAACTGCACCTCCCAGTCACGAACCATTTCAACTCCCTCTCCCATTCCGCAGTCGACATGTCCATCCTGGGTCTCCTGCAGTGCCACAACGATGCCACCCAAAGGTTGCAGGAACAGCAACTCATATTTCGCTTGGGAACCCTGTAGCCCAATGGTATCAATGTGGATTTCACAAGCTTCAAAATCTCCCCTCCCCCTACCGCATTCCAAAACCAGCCCAGCTCGTCCCCGCCTCCCTAACCTGTCCTTCCTCCTACCTAGCCCCTCCTCCCACCTCAAGCCCCACCCCCATCTCCTACCTACTAGCCTCATCCCGCCCCCTTGACCTGTCTGTCCTCCCTGGACTGACCTATCTCATCCCTACCTCCCCACCTACACTCACCTTTACTGGCTCCACCCCTGTCTCTTTGACCTGTCTGTCTCCTCTCCACCTATCTTCTCCTTTATCCATCTTCTATCCCCTTCCCCCTCTCTCCCTATTTATTTCAGAACCTCGTTCCCCTCCCCCCATTTCTGAAGAAGGGTCTAGGCCCGAAACGACAGCTTTCCTGCTCCTCTGATGCTGCTTGACCTGCTGTGTTCATCCAGCTCTACACCTTGTTATCTCAGATTCTCCAGCATCTGCAGTTCCTACTATCTCTAAAATATCCTTACATGTCTTAATTCCCTAAAGGACATTAGCAAATCAGATGGGTTTTTCCCTGACAATTGCCAATGGACTAATTCCAGATTTTAAAAAAAATTTGAATTCAAATTTCACCGTCTGCTGTAGCGGGATTTGAATCCAGGTCCCAAGAACATTTCCTGGGCCTCTAGGTTAACAGTACAGCAATAATACCAATAGGCCATTGTCTCCAAGGTTTTAGAGTAGATTTGTAGCTCGGGTTGTGGATGATGTGGTTGGTTGGCTCGCCGAGCTGGTTCATTGTTTTTCTGCAGACGTCTCTTTACTCTGCTGGGTAACATCATCAGTGCAGCCTTCGATGAAGTGCTGTTGTGCTTTCCCACCTGGTATTTAAACTCTGGAGTCCGTTGAGCTGGATTACCTCACTTCCGGTTTTCCTTCACAATGGAGCGTATATGGGGGTCGAGCTCTATGTATTTGATTGGGACAAGCAAAGCAGAGGCAAGCACGGGAATTCCTAGAAGCCTGGTGCTCCATGAAGAAAGCCATCAACAAACACATAGAACTTGACCCCATATACACTCCATTGCGAAGGAAAACCGGAAGTGAGGTAATCCAGCTCAACAGACTCCAGAGTTTAAATACCAGGCGGGAAAACACAACAGCGCTTCATCGGAGGCTGCACCGACGATGTTACCCAGCAGGGTAATGAAACGTCTGTGGAACAACAACAAACCAGCTTGGTGGGTCATTGCCTCCCTTTGAGGATGGAGATACTTATGAAGTCCCTTTCACAATCTCAGGATGTCACAAAGTAAATTAAATACTTTTGAATTGCAGTCACTTTTGGAATGTAGGGACACATGGCAGCTAATGTATATACAGTAAAGCCCCACAGTCAACAATTTGATCATGGTCAAATAATCTTTTTTGATGACAATAGCACTCCAGGTGAGGTTGGCATGGTGAGGAGTAACAAAGAGGCAGCTCATTAACTGGGATGAGATGTGAATAACCATATTCTGGGTATGTTGTGAGTTACGGATGCTGCATCTTGTGACATTGGTAAGAAGGCATTAAATAAATCACGTCTCCAGAAACCATACCAACATCTCACACTCGACAAATTAATCCAACCAATGCAGTCCCTAGGGCAGCGTGGAGCTTATGACAGATCCCACTGTGCTCCCAGGTGCCTATTGTTCCAGCACAGGGCTTTCCAGAGTACAGAGCCCGGGGCAGTCTCCTTGGTTGCTCTACTGGAAGTACAATGGAGCACAATGTGCTAACGTGTGAAATTGTCCATTTTGGTAGAGGCAGAAAGAATACAAGAGCTTATTATCTAAATGGTGAGAGGTTGCAAAACTCTGAAATGCAGCGATCTGGATGACCTGGTGCACAAACCACAGCTTAGTATGCGGGTACAGCAAATTAGTATGCATACAGCAAATAATCAGGAAAGCTTTTGGAATATCATGTTTCATTGCAAGGGGAATTAAACGTAAGAGTAGGGAGGTTATGCTTCAGTTATACAGGGCATTGGTGAGATTGCATCTGGAGTACTGTGTATAGTACTGGTCACTGTACTTACAGAAGGATGTTAATGTGTTGGAAGCAGTTCAGAGAAAGTTTACAAGACTAATACTGGGAATGAGCGGATTGCCGTATGAGGAAAGATAAGACAGGCTAGGTGTAGAACTGGGGTCATAGTTTAGAAATAAGGGAGCACTCACTTAAAACACAAATGAGGAAACACTTTTCTTCTCTCAGAGAGTTATGAATTCCCTTCCTTAAAGGCATTGGGTGTAGAACTTCTAAATATTTTTAAGGCAGAGGAAAATAGATTCTTGATTACCAAGGCAATGCAAGGCTATCAGGGATATGCAGGAATGTAGAGTTAAAATCAGATCAGTTATGGTCTTATTGTATGGTGGAGCAGGTTCAATGGGTCAGTTGGCC